GTGGTGATAGAAGTGAGGTACGAAAAGGGTAGGCCCCTGACTGGATTGGTGATAGAAGTGAGGTACAAAAAGTGTAGACCCCTGAATGGAGTGGTGATAGAAGTGAGGTACGAAAAGTGTAGGCCCCTGACTGGAGTGGTGATGGAAGTGAGGTACGAAAAAGTGTAGGCCCCTGACTGGAGTGGTGATAGAAGTGTGGTATGAAAGATGTAGGCCCCTGAATGGAGTGGTGATAAAAGTGAGGTAAGACAAGTGTAGGCCCCTGAATGGAGTGGTGATAGAAGTGAGGTAAGAAAAAGTGTAGGCCCCTGATGGAGTGGTGATAGAAGTGAGATAAGACAAGTGTAGGCCCCTGACTGGAGTGGTGATAGAAGTGAGGGACGAAAAGTGTAGGCCCCTGAATGGAGTGGTGATAGAATTGAGGTAAGACAAGTGTAGGCCTCTGACTGGATTGGTGATAAAAGTGAGGTATGAAAGGTGTAGGCCCCTGAATGGAGTGGGGATAGAAGTGAGGTACGAAAAGTGTAGGCCTCTGACTGGAGTGGTGATAGAAGTGAGGTAAGAAAAGTGTAGGCCCCTGACTGGAGTGGTGATAGAAGGGAGGTAAGACAAGTTTAGGCCCCTGACTGGAGTGGTGATAGAAGTGGGGTACGAAAAAGTGTAGGCCCCTGACTGGAGTGGTGATAGAAGTGAGGTAAGACAAGTGTAGGCCTCTGACTGGATTGGTGATAAAAGTGTGGTATGAAAGGTGTAGGCCCCTGAATGGAGTGGTGATAGAAGTGAGGTAAGAAAAAGTGTAGGACCCTGATGGAGTGGTGATAGAAGTGAGGTAAGACAAGTTTAGGCCCCTGACTGGAGTGGTGATAGGAGTGAGGTATGTAATTGTTCACCTAAGTGCAGTAGGTCATCACTGAATTGTTTGAGACTAGATAGCTAGTGACCTACCAAAGGGTATTCACCACTGTTCTAGTGTAGTTTTATACAAAAGATGCATGGTTTTGGAATAATAATACACATATATTTCAGATGTCATCTTTGTATTGACAGACTGGGGTGACCATTAGAGATACTGCACGGTTTTCACGGCGACCAGACATCATCAACTATATTGATAAGGTAGGAGGACTGATCTTAATGGAAGGTAAAGATTCCATTTCTCTGTAAAAACATAAAGTGCATATCTCTGTAAAAACACCAAGTGCATATCTCTGTAAAAACAACGAGTGCAAATACATGTATGCCTCCTTTGGATTGATTAACTCACAAACATAATTATACAGTAAACCCTGATGTAAACGTTTTGGTACTTTGAATATATGGGGTAAAAAAACGTCTCTGGATCATTGTGGATAACATTTTTGACAATTCATAACCAAGTGTCATTCAAGCATATTCCCGTGATACACAATATCTTGGTGATATGTATGAACCTCACTGTAAAGGTGAAGGGGAATAGACTGGAACTGTGGTTCATACAACAGACTGGAACTGTGGTCCATACAACAGACTGGAACTGTGGTCCATACAACAGACTGGAACTGTGGT